CTAAAAAGCAATATGATTGTGTGTGCATGTGTGGTGTGTGTGTGTCTGTGTGTTGAAAATCTTATAGAGTCACTGGCCAGAATGTGTGCTCACACCCTTGGGTGCTGTAACTTCTAGTCCTCTAGTGAAGTTGTAAACTACAAAATGACCTGCATATTGGCACTGAGCACACAGCATCATCAATCTCCCTGCATCTTTTGTGGAGATCACAGAATTAGGTTTTCTGTGGACCACAACACAACAGACCACAGGAAACACCATCTGTTTTGTGCTCATCTGGCCCCTCGAGGCACCAGCACCCTAGGGCCAGCAGCAGCAGGTCGTGTGACACCTGTCCTTCAGTCCCTAATGCTTTCTTCTCCTCCTGAGCTTGCTCCCTGCCATGCTTGTTGAAGGAATATGAATATAATTTTGCACTAAGTATGTGCTGGTCATCAATAGTTTCTCATTGTATCGATACCTCAGCCCTAAAGTTGTTTTTTAATTTAGTTTAGTTTTTTTTTCTTTTTTTTGAGACAAGGTCTCTGTTGCTTAGGCTGGAGTGCAATGGTGTGAAGACAGCTCACCGTGGCCTCGATCTCCTGAGCTCAAGTGATCCTCCTGCCTCAGCCTCCCGAGGAGCTGGGACTACAGGTGTCAACCCTAAAGTCTGTACATTTCACCTGGAGCTAATACTGAGAATAAAATAACAAGTGGGAGGAACATGTATCGAAAAGGAAAAAAAAAAAAAGTCCTACCGCAGCAACAATAAGAAGCGGTTTGCAGAATAATCTGTAGAAAGTGAGATTTTTTTACACTTTAAAAGCATGCATAGCATTGGTTATTACTTGTGAATATGATATGATTTGTGAGTACACCTATGCTCAGTAAAGGTGCAAACATGGATGAAGGGCTACGTGCAAACTTCATTGTGATGATTCCCTTCTGGTGTGGTAGGCAGGGATGAGACTGAGAACTAGGATACATGTTTTTCCAAAAATGTAGCTCTAAGGTAATAATGCAAAATGTTAAGATTTACTAAAGGTGGGTGTTTCATTAATCACTGTTTCCTTCTAAGTTTATACTATTGCCTAATAAAACATGTTTTAAAAATCACACATATAATAGATTTTAACAAAATCCCAGAAAAATATTGGGTTCTCTTGATCCAATCTAATCTCTAATCTCCTACATATTTTAGATGGCATCTACAATGTTAAAATCAGAGCTGGTTTTTAGAATATTGACCATGCAAAGAAAGGAATATCATAATAACAAGAGCAAGCAAGCTTTTTGCTTTTTTTCTTTTTTTCTTTTTTTTTTTAGCACCTACAGTATTCCAGGCAGCATGGTAGGCATGTTACATGTATTTTCTTTAATTGACCCCCAAAGTTACCTTTTTGTGCACTTACATGATAAACAATGAATCTGGGATTCTTATCTAGTTCTTTTCTTACTTTCTTCACTTTAAAAACCAATTAAATTAATATTGAAATTGTTACCTAGAATTTACAGTTAGCCAGATGTTTCCAATCACTTTGTTACTCCTCCACTATACAATAATATTGCTAATTGCAGATTTCCCATCTACAAGGTGAGCTTGTAGAAATATCACAAGACTTTTTCCTCTTTAAAAACATAGTCACAGCCAGGCATGGTGGCTCACTCCTCCAATCTTAACACTTTGGCGGAGGGGGGGCGCGGACCATTTGAGGTCAGGAGTTTGAGACCAGCCTGACCAACATGGTGAAACCCCGTCTCTACTAAAAAAAAAAAAAACAAAGAAAAAAAAAATAGGCCAGGGTACAGTGGTTCCACACAGTAATCCCAGCGCTTGGGAGGCCTGGGTGGGTAGATCATAAGATCAGGAGAATGAGACCATCCTGCTAACATGATGAACCCCTGTCCCTATTAAAATAAAAATAAATTAGCTGGGGTGGTGGCATGTCCTGTTATCCCAGCTACTCAGGAGGCTGAGCAGTAGAATCGCTTGAATTGGGAGTGCAGGTTGCAGTGAGCCAAGATTGAGCCACTGCACTCCAGGCTGGGCAACAGAGACTCTGTCTCAAAAAAAAAAAAAATTAGCCAGGTGTGGGCGCAGTGACTGAATCCCCAGCTACTTGGGAGACTGCGGCAGAAGACTCGCTTGAACCTGGGAGGCGGAGGTTGCAGTGAGCCGAGATCGCACCACTGAACTCCAGCCTGGGACAGAGGGAGACTCCGTCTCAAACAAACAAACAAATGAAAAAAACATAGTAACTACTCTGACTTCATATTCTCTTAAAATTTATGGCAATTAAATCCTCCTCATTGATAATAAATAGTGTCTTAATCAGAAAAATTATGCATTTATGTACACTTATGTTGTATTAATAAATACAGTGCAATTTTATGATGGAAAAATACAAAATACAGGATATGTTTTTGTTTTTTATTTTCCAAATTTCTATTTATCTCTACTGGACCTGACCTTTCCCTGTTGAAAATGCTGCCATTTCACACATCAACTTAATTTACTACCTTCACTGTTTGCACATACTCTGTAAGTCAGGAGTGGTGAATACGGATTCCCTGAACCTTGGCTGTGTGAAAGAGCTTTGTTTGCTAGATCTCCTTCTCTTTGTAGCTCATAGATGGTTATACATATATAAAACTATATATTTATATATGTTTCCTTATGAAAGGGTTATCTTATTTATGTTCCCTGACATATCTTTAGAATTACTGTCTAATGATTAAATATTTCTACATTTCATTATTTTATCTAACACATAATTTGTTTTAATTCCATGCTATAATATATTTCAGTCTATATAACAAATACAATGAACATAGAAAGAAAGCATTGGATTTATTTAGTGCTCTGCAACTCTTAATTGTGTGGCTATGTGACATTACAAAATGGTTTATTTGATCATTCAGTAAAGCATACCACATAACAATTTGCTTTTTGATGAGAATCAATTGAGTATTGATTTGATGATGGCTTTCATCGGCAGCTATGGCAGGAGTGAGCTGGATATTTATTAAGATCTTGGGTCCTAGACTGCCATTATTTTATCAAAGACCATGAATGATTTCTTACAATGAATTCCTGAACATGATCAATATGCATAATAACTTTTTATGTTCTTTACAAAAACAAAAGAATATTTTTAAAAACTTGGCAAGAAATATGATAAATGCCCACAATGAAACTAAAAGAACATAAAGCACATGATATTACTGCAGAGAGCAGACTGCTGAGAGGAATAAGAAGGCATGAAGGAAAAGGTGGTAGAGTTAAAACAGTAACATAAATAGAGATAGTCTATGCTTAATGAAACAATTAAACATCTCATTTCTCAATGTCAAGTGTGGACCCCTAAACAGATGTGTAACTAGAAATTTTTATGCTGAGGGCAAGCGCCAAGCATTTTTGTTTCTGCGTCCCCTTCTGCCATCATTCTGCCTTCAGGCCGTCCTCCCACCTCCCTGTGACTTTCATGCTTTTGCTCTATTTATAAATTGTGGGCTTCCTGTGTCAGGTTACCTGGCCCTCTGAGTCAGCAGAGGATTGCCATCATGGCAAAAAATGCAAAGAAGTCATTCTCGGCTGGATGACGCTCTCAGCATTTCCCCCACTGCTGAGCCTCTCACCACCGAGTTACTTCTAAAGGATTGCATCACGCCAAATAGCATAAACTTAAAAAAAAAAAAGTAAAATCTCATAAAATGGTAAGTAGATAAATGTCATATTCCTTTCATAAACGCTGTTTAATTCCAAAGCTAATTTAGAATACTTCTATAACCTACGAAATTCTAGATTTGCGTCCTGGGAACTGTCACAAAGCTCCGTCAAGGGCCAGTGTGTGGAATTCCATGAAGTCATATCTCACAGCCAGTTTTATTCATGCCCAGTGCTTGGGAAGTGCAAATGAACACAGCCTCATGCGCAGCGCAGCCAATGTCCTGGCTTTTGCTATTTTCAAACATTTTACGTAAAATTAATGTTCACTACTTTTATGTAAAGCCATTATAGTTTTCAAATTAATAAAAAGTTATAATGGAGTACAACATCAACTACATTTTCTATATTCTTTTTCTACATAAACCACCACCATATACTGAGGATCCAGTCCTATCAGAAAATGTTTTGCAACTATTTTGAGAACAAATGAAGAGCTTGTACACAGAGTGGAAAAAAAAAAATACTTGTTTAGGTGTAAAACTTTATGGATAATAACAATAAAATTAAATGTGTATATTAGTCAAAATTCTGATTTCTAAGCAAAGAAAACTAACTCTGGACATCTCAGGCAGGTAGAGGCTTTATTGGAAGGCTAAGGAAAGACATGAATTTCGACAAAAAGGTCTGGCGAGTGACTGAGGTGGAATGCGGGGGCTGATGGCTGGCATGCTCTGAGCGAGGTTCTTCTCTGACTAATATTCTTCTGCTGGTGCTGCATGGAGCCACTACTGCCCAATGTCACCCCATGGAGCCAGGTCAGTTGTTGTCCCTTCCAGTATATGTCCCTCGCTCTGCATCCATCATAGGTAGGTTAACTGAGCCCATCTTACATGTATTTGTCCAGCTGTCAAAGCAGCAGGGGAGGAAGAGGGAGTCCCTTTCCTTTATTTTCATCATGGTAGGTGCCAAACTTAAATGTGGGACTGGCAGGAAAAAGCCAAATCACAAATGTGCACTATCACTACTGAAGACTTTTATTTTTGAACCAAAAATTCTTTAAGCTTTATGAAACAGGCCAGGTGAGGTGGCTCACGCCTGTAATCCCAGCACTTTGGGAGGCCAAGGCGGATGGATCACTGAGGTCAGGAGTTTGAGACCAGCCTAACCAACATGATGAAACTCCATCTCTACTGAAAATACAAAATTAGCCAGGTGTGGTGGTGCACACCTGTAATCCCAGCTACTTGGGAGGCTGAGGTAGGAGAATCGTTTGAACCTGGGAGGTGGAGGTTGCAATGAGCTGAGATCATCCCATTGCATTCCAGCCTGGGCAACAAGAGTGAAACTCTGTCTCGAAAAATTAAATAAATAAATAAATAAATTAATTAATTAATTTTATGAAACAGTTAAATGACTCCTCTGTTCCTTTTAACGGATTATGATAAGTTCATTCTCAGAAACGGAACATATGATCTTGATTTCCATTCAAACTGTGGACTCAGTGAATTTTCCATATGATCTTTGGCAGATTACTGACTCTATTTTCTCTTTTCTTTATCTACCATAATGCCCAGACATTTTATCTTCCTTGAAGGGAGTTTATTAAAACTGCTGATGAGGCTAATGAAAATATAGACATCCTTACAGAGAAATTTCATTTTTGGTCACCATTTAATTTTGCTGCTACACACCCAATGTGTCCGGGACTGGATTTTATAGAATTTCTATTTAATTGCATTAGTAGAAAAGCTAAAAAGCTGCTTCTCTGTATGTGTCCATACTTCTTGTATAAATGTCACATGAGAGATAAATTCTGAAAGCCATTAAACACATAGTTTCACATAACTCTTACAGCTTCTCATCAGTAAGGAATCTGTCTCATCACGTGAGTGCCCACGATTTGCATGGAAGAGAATAAGCCTGGGTTTTCAGTTTCCTTGAGAAAAAGAAAGTGCCCCAAGATGACTGGCAGTTCCTGCCTCATCAGGGATGTCTACATTTGAAAACAAGGCCTCTTTGAAATCTGAGACTGGAAAATGATTCCTGATGACCTTTCCCATCTCTCTTTGATTCTTAGCCAAACACAGAGGAAAAGTCACAAAGCAGCCTACTATATATACCTTCTTTCAAATGACTCTCTTTGTCTAAGAACCACACTGTAGGGGCAGGCCTGGAAAGGATGTCAGATGGCCCAGCGTTGTGTTATAATGTACAGGGGGCAGGCCTCTGATACAAAAATCAAACCAGTGTTCGTGACCAGGAGGTTCCCCTCTGCACCATCTCAGAGGAAGCATCTGTGATGCTTACAAGGTAAAGTAGATGCATCTCTAAGGAACAGAGGGGAGATTAGGACAATCTATTATTGCAACCAATCAGCATTTTCTTTCTATTTCAGTGCCTGGATATCAGTGCAAGTGATTTCAGAAGATTGCCTACTGTAAGATTTATTCTTAAGATTCAAATTATTGATTTTTCTCACTACCTCATCAGTGTTATTTAGAAAAATCTCCGCTGATAATATGGCTGTGCCTCTATAATGCTAAATATTCCAAGGAAAGCTGATCATTAGCTGGATACTTGATTTCATGGAAACATCTGGATACTTGGCTGAGGTTATTTTAGATTTTTATGTAGATGTTTGACATAAAAATTGTGCTGTAACTTTAGATAAAATGAGAATCCTGTTGCTAAAGCAATAGTGTGTTAATATATTGATAACAACGTCTCCTTACTTAGTGGTTTGTGCATCACTTTGAATGCAACATTACATATTTTAAAGATAATTATTTAAAGTATATTTTAAAATTCAACATAAAAGGAAAATAAAACACTACATTCTATAATATAAATTCTTTTACTTTCTAAAAGCTCCAATGGGTTGTTTTTTCTTCTTCTTGAAGTGATAATCTTGTTTATTTTGGTGAACTTGTTAGGAGCAGACACATGAAACATTTACATGGAATCAGTAATACACCTCCAAACAGTTTTGTGGACTGCAATCTCACTTTGATTTTACCATGTTCTCATGATATGTCATATTTCAAATCAATGTGAATTACATGGAAGTGAATGTCATAACTGAGATAAAATGCATGCCATGAAACCACAGGTGGTGCAAGTATTTTATTCCCAGGTGTGGTCACTAAGAGTCGTCCTATTTTAGCCAAGGCCAAATGCATAGCAACTTCATTCAGCAGGTTTAATACCATCTTCACCCGAGAATAATTTTAAACTACCACAACATAAATTAAATCTACGATATTTCATTTAAAACTATTATGTTTTAGTTTTTTTGGACATTATTCTTTATTTTGGAAACAGGTGGAAAATTGTAGTCAGCTGAGATGGAGAGAGAAGACCATTCAGCCCAAGGAGTGCAGGGCAGAGGTGAGAACAGCTGAGTCTTCACAGAGCATCTATTGGTAACAAGTTAATGAATGTCTTGTCATAACTGAATTCCATTTGTCACTGCACATGTGAACAGATAGACGTCATTACCTGAGTGGTGTGACTGTCCCTGTGTCTCTGAAATGTCGAAGTCCCCGTGCCACTTACAGACAACCGTGAGTATCCATCTTCTTCAGGTAAACCTATTGAGGTCAACAAAAATCAGGAATTAAGCAGTGTCTCCATTCCAAATAAAGTAAGTCATGCACTCATTACAATAAACTAGAGTTGTTATATTTTACAAATTGAAATGATGTTCCTTAAACACAAACTAAATACTAAATTTTGCAATGAAACATGGGCACGCACAGTATTGTGGCAGCTTCATTTAGGAAAAGAGGGCATATCCTGCCAAAGGAGATACAACGATAATAAAGAAATATGTGATAATAGCACAAAAGTGAGCAGACAAGTATTGGAGGGGAGAAGGGAAACTTCCAGACACTGAAAAGGTTTGAAGACGCTTCCGGGGTCAGTGACGGGTCCACTGAGTCGCTGGGGTGACTGCAGACAGCAGAGTGTGGCTGCCATTCATAGCACTGCAGGGAGACGAGGAAGGGATTCGAAGTCAGAGCATGACTAAGCCTGTGTGTCCGATGAATTCCACTGGCTGTAGTTCATTTTGTGCACAAGGAAGCAAAGAGATTGGCTGAATTTCCACAAGGAAAAGGTGGGGAGAGCTGCTGATTCACAGCACCAATTCACGAGCAACCACGTAGAGTAAGTTGTAGGTTTATGAAACTTTACATGCCCTCCAACAACATGAAGTCGCTATGAGGCACCAAATGATTTTATTAATTATCCTTTATGATCAAAGCAGTTTCCCACCCTCTGCACTATTGGCATTTTGGCCTGTATAATTCTTTGCAGTGGGGTCTGCCCCATGCATTGCAGGATGTTAAATAGCATCCCTGACCTCCATGCACTAGATGCCAGCAGTGCCCCCATTTGTGGCACCCAGAAATGTTCCCAGACATTACCAAAAGTTCCCTGGAGGGCAAAGTCATCCCCTCCTACACTGGCTGAGAACCACTGTGATACAGGCATCATGCATCACCAAAAGTGACTTTGATTAATAAACATGAATAGACAAAAAGAGAAATAAGAACCCAACAAAATGAATTCAACTCAGAGAACTTTAACTACTGAAGTGATTACTACTCCCCTCTGAAAGCATAATTAACTAGCACACTGTAATTGATTAAACATATACATGATTCCTAAATTAAAAATCATTAGACAATCAGTGCACACTTTTCCGATTATAGGAGAGAGTTCCTCAGGGAAGTCTACACAATCCTGTCAATACATAACAAGCGCTTCCCAGTGATCTTGTTACATGTCCAGATACCTTGGTATGGAAAAGCTAACTTCATGAAGACTGGGCAGACAATGGCTGGAGAACAGATCTCAGGCACAGGCAGCAGCAGTAGCCTCAGGTGCTACGTGGGAATAGTGTCCTTAGACACTGTGGCAGCAGGACACAGGAAAGGCTCCAATCACAGTGAGTGTTGGAGCAGCCTGAAGTTCACACAGGCAGAAGGGAGCATGGCAATTCAAGATCAGGCACAATATGAAATTTCAGGAGACTAGATAAGGCAGATAGTTAGAAAAAAAAACGTGTTTCCAGATAGGAGAGCACAACAAAGGGCTTGGGATTCATGTGAAGGACCCCCTCTTAGAGGGGAATAAAGGATGGGGTGCTGGGAGGAAGGGGCTAATTGACAAGCAAGATAAACCTTAACTTCTACAGGAACCATAAAGAAACCAGTTCGCCAGGAGAAGACAATTGTGATCCATTTTTCAAAACTAAATTATAAATTAGAAGTTGGGGATGGATGCGGCGGCTCACGCCTGTAATCTCAGCACTTTGGGAGGCTGAGGTGGCAGATCACCTGAGGTCAGGAGATCGAGACCAGCCTGGCCAACATGGTGAAATCCCACCTCTGCTAAAAACACAAAATTACCCGGGCCTGGTGGTGCACACCTGTAGTCCCAGCTACTCCGGGTGCTGAGGCAGGAGAATCGCTTGAACCCGGGAGGCAGAGTTGCAGTGAGCCAAGTTTGCGCCATTGTACCCCAGCCTGGGTGACAGAGTGAGACTCCATCTCAAAATAAATAAATAAATAAATAAATAAATAAATAAATAAATAAAATTAGAAGTTGGATCTCAGAATCAAAACAGAAACTCAATTGAAAGGGTACAAGCTCAGAGCTGAATCGATAGCCTGCTGAGCACTGCAGAGAGTCAATTAAACTAAGGTTAAAAACATTTATGAGCAACCTCTGCATAAGGCACTGGGAAATACAATGAAGAATGAAGAAATGTCCCCACCCTTGAGGAAGTCATAATTCAGTGAGAATGACACTGAAGCCAAACACACAGCAGCATGATTTCAGGATTAAGAGGAGTACAGGTCACGTTGAACAGGGTCTTGGAGAAGGCAAGCATTTATTCTGATGGAAGGGACTAGAGGAAACTTCATGGTGGTGTTGCCAAAGGACCTGGGCCTTCCAGGAGGAGGAGAATTGTGGAGGGTGAACAAAGTCGAGAAGGACATGCCTGGCTGTGAGCACCAATGTGATAAGGCAACAAAACACAAGGATGCTTCGCGGAAATGTGACCACACTTTGGAGACGAGAGATAGCACTGCAGACTTCCCAGAAGAGACGTGCTGCCATTTTATCTAAGTCATGAGTTCAAAGGTATTTCATTCGTAACTGTTGACTAAAGAAAGGATGGGTCCCAGAACCTGTGTCAGGGCTCCACAGACAGGGATGGATGCAGTGTGGGCAGGTGCTCGCATGCAGGTGTGGAGGGCCAGGTGAGGACAGTGGGGAGGGAGGCGGGTCCGTGGGTGCTGGGGGAGACTGGCATGTGGAGGAGGGGGTGGGACAAAGGACTGAGCCCGAGAAGTCAGAGGGAAGGGGATTTTGGAAGGTTGTAGCAAACAGGCCAAGGGTCCTCATCACGGCCAACTCACCAACGTTGTGAGAAGTGGAAGGGGCAGAATGACAGCCAGGAAGCGCCAAAGGTGCAAAGGAGGTTACACGGCAGGAGGGTTTTGTTTTGTTTTGTTTTTTTCCAGCACAATATTTTATTTCGCTGCCATATTAGAAGCAGTACCTTTTTAAGGCAAATAATTTTAAAATGACATCAAAGGCACAACCCATGAATTAAAAAAACAGATTCATATCTCTACATAAACATTAAAAATAAACATATTGATGATGCCCTAAAAATAAAACATGTATTTTAAAAGAACAATGTAGAACATTGAAATATATTAAATAAGAGGCTTTTTAATTCTTAAAACATCCTACAGATCAAAATAAAGGACCTTCTCCCAGATATTAAACAGTGGACAAATAATAAGTGTAGAAAATAAAGGAGAAAAAAAATGAATGAATGACAAGTAATACACATATTCAATTCCATTAAGAATTCCAAGTAATGGATATGAGACTACAGTAACATTCATTTTATCTATCAAAATAACACAGTTTTAAAACTTTTTATTACAAACATTTCAGACATAAAGAGAATATGTAGTGAAACTCCATGCACCCATTCCAAGCCTTGGGGCTGTCAATTTTATCCATTTTTATCCATTTTTTATTCATTTTTCACTTAAATCCCAGAAATCATGTCATTTTAGCTGTAAATATTTGTACATGTGTCCCTAACTGACAAGAACTTTTTTTTTTTTTTAAACATAGCAAGGATTTTCTCACACAGCTAACAGGAACATTGCTAAGCAAAGGCCCCCAGAAAAGTCCCACAGTCTTGTGTGGGTAGAGAATCCCATGGCGCATTTTAACCAGGGTGAAGACTCCAATCATGTTGGAGGAACATTTAAAGTGAAGATAGAGCTCTTTATCTGTGCCTTCATTAAAGGGTGGAATTCTGTCCGTGAAGAAGCTTCTGCACATTCTGAGAAGCCTCCTCTGCTCCTCGTACTGCAGCAGTCTTCTCCCCAGACCAGGCTTGGAGTTAACAATTCCCAGCTTAGAGATTCATGTGTCCCTTGCTGAACATATTCTTTCCAGGGTCGCAACAGTGTGCTTCAAAAAGTCGAGCTTTTGGTCCATTTGATACCAAACTATTTCAAAAAGCCATTCTTGCCCAAATGACAGCAAGTCAAGGTCTTTTGAAACTGCATCCACTCTACCCTACCCTCCAGATATCCAGCTCTTCTGCTCAAAGAAAACATGCAGATGCTCAGGGAAGGAATTCCCCAAAGCTGATCTTCATGGCCTAATGGATACACTGTGGACACTCCATAGAACCTGCTGTTGTTCCTTTAAACTTGGGTGGGCAAAAGTCAAAAAGGCTTTGGCCTTGATTGAGGGTTTAGCAGGAAGAAGCAGCCTCTGCTCTTCCTCTCCTCCTGAATTGGAGGCTGCTCAGAGCACTGAAAATCAAACCTTCCTCCAGGACACAAAGAGGAATGGCTTTTAGGACATCCTCATCACTGTGATGTAGACCTGGTCCCTGGAGTTCTGTGTGATTTTTTAAGTAATTTTGAAAAGTGAGAGACTCTGGGGCCATGAGGTCTATATGCAGAGCCCAGTGGGTTCATGCAGATTCTTATAAGACAAGAATGAGGGCCAGGTGTGGTGGCTCACGCCTGTAATCCCAGCACTTTGGGAGGCCGAGGCGGGCGGATCACGAGGTCAGGATATCAAGACCATTCTGGCTAACACAGTGAAACCCCGCCTCTTCTAAAAAGAATACAAAAAAAAAATAGCCGGAGGTGGTGGTGGGCGCCTGTAGTCCCAGCCACTCGGGAGGCTGAGGCTGAAGAATCACTTGAACCCAGAAGGTGGAAGTTGCAGTGAATCGAGATCGTGCCACTGCACTCTAGCCTGGGCGACAGAGTGAGACTTCATCTCAAAAAACAAAACAAAACAAAACAATACAAAACAAAAACCAGACAAGACAAGAATGAGACAGAGACTTTCAAGGGGGGTACGGCACTGAATTTCACATGGCTAATCAGTTGGAATCTGTTAGTCAAATCTGTCATTTTGTAGGGACCCAAACTTGTTTAGTCAATGGCAAGGTGGTTTGAATTCTCTTTTCACATCTGTCCAGCTTTCCAAGTATTCCATTACCTTTAAATCCACTCCCCTCTTGATTTCCATGAAATCGGACATCTGTCTTCTATCTCTTGAGCACCTATTGCATGTCTC